AACTTTCGAATTTATAATTGAAGGAAATGTGAAAAATTATGTTTATATTTACCTCTATCAATATTTAGTTAATTTAATTTTATTTAGTAACCTGGAAAATAAGTTATATAATATAAATTTTTCTTCTATACATTAATTAAATTATACATGCAGTGTAATTATAATAAATGCTTTAGATAAGATATCCTTTATACTTTCTGATACAGAAGGTGAAAAAGTGGGTATACATTCGTTATTATGAAAGAAACATAGAAAAACATATACTTTTATGCAGAAATTAAATCACAAAATACGAAATAATGATGAACACCAAACATCTGTATTTCTCAGTTTCACAACTGTATACCCACTTCCCTGTATTATTCTATAGTAATTATTTATTCTTCTAAACATATTTAACGATTAACACACACTAATCAGCTCTACAATTACTAATGCCTCTTTAATAGATTGGCTTTGCAGGCCTCATAAACGTACAGTTATATGAGGCCTGTACGTGTATATATAATACATCTGTTTATACTTTTCCTCATCATTAACTTATTCACTTTATGCAAAAGGGCCCCACAGTGTATAGGTTAATTAGAAATGACAAAGAAAGAATTGATGATAACGAACAGGCAGGAGTATATGCAATTCCCTACAAAAATGACCAGTTGGGAATCGATAAAATTCACGTACGAGTCACTAATAGAAACCTTGGGGTGAGGATTAAGGAGCACAGATACCATGTCGCAAAAAACAAGTGTGCAACAGCATTATCCAAAATGGCGCAAGCGAATGGTTCAGTTGTTAAATGGGAGGATGCAAAAATTCTTGCAAAAGTACGCTCACCAACGCTGTCATCCATAACTGAGAAATGCGAAATTTACAGAGCAAGTTTGGCTGGCAGATGTTTAAATTATAAGGATGCGACGGTGTTACCGTCATCCTGGAAATACATAATAACAAGTAACACGTGTAATAATGCGTCTACCGTGACTCAATAGGTATCTGGGTTAATGTATAAGAAACTGTTCCTTACTGTTTACGACAATCACCGTATTTTATTTTCATTTTTGTGTTATTTTGGTTTTTATCATTTATTATTCTGGTTATGCTTATTCTATTGGTTTAATTTAAACGTATGTTCTAATTTGGTTTAATTTTGAACGTGTTCGATTTTGTATTAGAGTCGAACAACGGTAACCTGAAGATGGCCCATAAATTGGGCCGAAAACGTTAGTTTTGTGTAATNAATTGAAGCTGTTTGAAAATGTCTTGAATTTTTCGTTTTTTAAATAACTACACAAAATTCTCACATCATTATGGAGGGAAAAAAATAGTCATTCTAAGGGAAGTAAAAGTCTAATGCCGATACTTAAAAGAATTTTAGTAATAAAGATTTCTTTTTGGTCGTTTTGCAAAGTTATAATAAACTAAAATATCACTTAAAAAAGCCTAAAAATTTGCTGGGTATAAAATAAAGACACATCACAGTACACTTTTCCCTTTTAATTCCCCCTCCCTTTAAAAACTGACAAGTCTGTTCTTAATTGCTTTGCATGAAACCTTACACTGTTTATGCTTACTCAATGGAAAAGAGGCACAGATTAATAAATCTACAGGAAGCACAGCCACATTGAAACAATCATTGACTTAGAATGTTTACTACTTGATTCTGAAAATACTCTGCCCCGAAATGATGTGTACAATCCGGGCAAGAAATGGGAGAGGGCACATAAGATCACAGTATAAACAGTGGTGCAAGCACCAGTTATTCTTACTTTGTGAAATTATACTAATGATTTTGTTTAGAAATAAAAATAAAGATTCCTGTCCATTTAACTCCTGTGGTGCAATGCCCGGATGAGCATTGCACACTGTGGCACGATTTAAAAATGGCCAAGATCTTTGCTCCCGTCACACAATGTACAAGTTTTAATTCACGTTAACTTATTTTATGTATATTTTTTAAGTTATTTTATGTTAAATTTAGTATGAAATTATGTATAATTTAGTACTGTATAATTAGATTATAATAATACAAATAGTAGAGTATTTTTGGGGCTGTCCCCTCAAATAACTTGTTTATTAAAAACCAAAGTTAGTAATTTATTTTCGATTTATTGCAGAAAATGCTGTTATTTTTACCTAAAATATGAGCTGATGCTTTACTGTTTGGGCTGAAATGTTACTGAATTAAGGGTTGATAATATGTGTGTACACTGATCAAAATGTAAATTATTTTCTTTAATATCGATCTCAGAATCATTACCACGTTGTTACGACTGGTTTATACCGTATAATGTAAGCTAATTTAAGGTTTAAAATAATTTACAACGCACCTTAAAGGAGCAATTTCAGCTAATGGAACTTGCAGCTCGACTCTATTTAGAATCTTGTATTAAAATTCTTAAAGTACCTAAGAATTCTAATAAAACTACTTTAGAAAAATATTTATGATAAATTTACTATTTAAACGCATTAAAAATAGATATGAACAAGCAATTTTAAATAAGAAGAGTTAAATTATTGGGTTGAAATTTGAAAAAAAAAAACTGTAGACCTATTTCCACTGTCGTCCGTTTGTGTGTCTGTCATTCCTTAATATCAAGAACAGTGTTAGATAGATTATAAATAAGAGACCTCTAATTAACTATATAGAAAATTCTGTATATAAATAATTAATTAATTTTTTAATCTAAATTTACATAAACAATGGCTAAACAGCAATATTTTTTTCAAATCTAACCGTTATAAAATTATACATACAACATCAGACGTCATGAATAATTCCTAAACATTAATATAATTCTTTATTTAATTTACTATCTTAGTTATTAAATAAATATTCAAATTAGCGTTTATGTTTAATCAATATTAATTTAACAACTGTAATGAATTATGATTGATTTTGCACTTAACTGATCGAAATTATTGTACCATTTCATAAGTTAAATTTTATTTTCGGTTAGAAAATATATAAAACATCTTAATAGAAAACGAAATAATAAATAAGGCAATAGTATTGAATTATAATTCTATTTTAAAAGAGAATCTTTTAAATAGTTTGAGATAAAAGTAAGAAAATCCAGCAACGAGTTGCTTAACTTTCCCGGTAGCATTTAAAACTGAGTTTGTTGCGCCATCTATTATGATATTTTATTATTAAAAACTTTTTATATTTCCATAGAAGAGTATTTTTGAACGTAAAATAATAAGTTTAATAACAAACAATTATTGTTACACCGTCACAATTTCGGGCNTGATCTAATATGTTTATAGTTCAAACTGGTTTTACCATTTTTTCCTTATGATATGACTAGTCTTATTATTTTGTATAATGGAATAAACATTTTGTTTGTGATCTATGAAAATAACTGTGCCCATTTAAAAGATGGCTGGAAATATGATAAATTTTGTCCCAATCTTACAGTTTCTTTATAGAATATATTACAGTTTTAAAATGACATGGTCTATATACATCACATTATAAAATATATTGGTACATTGACATTACTTAACTATTATGAATAGCTGGAAATCATATTTAAGTTTTCATTACCCTGTCATAAAATATGTAACATAGTGAAAGTATTTCATTGTATTCTACTAATGATACTTCAAGTTTATTATTTTTAAAAGGAATGCCTTGAATATACTAAATACTGAAATAGATATACAGAACTTACTACTAATGGTAAAAGAATATCACTAACTAATAATAAAATTATTCAGAAAGGAATATAAAAACAATTTAAACAATCTTGTGCAAAAATAAGAATGTATTTGATAATGTTTAATATTAAAAAATTTGGCAATTTATGTTTTATTACTACTTTTTTAAGTTATCCATTGTGGAAAAAATTTTAATAAATTTTGCAAACAAGCCATTATGTTACAGTTAGATCAATCAATTGACATAGTATCTTACCAATAAAAAGTGTATTACAAATTGATTGACAAATAAGATTTTAGTTATGGAGATCAAAAGTAAAATAATGATTTTAAAACATAATTTGCCTAATGGTAATTAAGGTTAAAATTAAAATTAAAGATTAAATCTCTTCTCTAACATATTTAATTTTAACTTAATTACTATCCAGTGAAAAAATTTTAAAGATTTGTCGTCAGGGAAAGCTAAAAATCTACATTTACCAGCGCTTACCTTAAAAGATAAAAAGTTCAAGAAGTAATTAAGTCCCAATATGGAATGGAGAGAAAGGAGGTGTTTATGTTTCTAGTCAGATATTTTTTCCATTGTTTTTGAAGGGAATTTTTTTAAAAATTTCAGTGGCCAAAGCAGCGTACAAAGAAAGGTTGGCTGTCAAAAGCAGTATTCTGGATAAATGTAAGTGAATAAGTGGTGACTGTTCTCTAATAGACTGTCTTCAATTTTAATTAAACTTATGGTTTATTACTATTTATTATTCTTATTAAAGTTTGTTAAATAAAGCTTCATTAATTTAGATTCTCAGCTTTATAAACACATTTATTATACAATAATGAACATTTTGGAGTAAAATAAGCATTTTTTTTTAATGATTTAATTTTATAAATAGATACGATACATAAAGAGATTTCAGTAGTTAAACCTATTATAAAATTTTAAACACTTCTTACAGCATTTCATGTAAGTACATTAAATGTTAATTGTATTATTGTTCTTCATTTGATTAGAACAGACCACTAGAAAACAAAATTCAGTGATGACTTGCTTAACTTTCCCAGCAACATTTAAAACTGTGTTTGTATGTTGTGCCATCTGTTAGAATATTTTATTATTAAAAACTTTTTATATGTTTAATTATTATAAAGTGGCAAAAAGCTTAATTTTGAGGGTAGGGATGATCTTCATAAAAAATTGCAAATGCTAAAACCAAGTAAAATTATCATTATGTCAGACTATTTGACATATGACATGATCTCCTTTATCTCCCCACCCCATTGACCTTTAACCACCAAAGTTTAATAGCATCAATTCTCCAATACACAAACTTCCCTGCAAAATTTTCGATAAGAGTTATTAAGCTTCAAAGAGGGTGAATGAAATTGTGTCCCCCACACAAACATCTATACATACAGAAATTACCCCTGAATTTTTTTGCAGTTTTAGACATTTCAAGGTGTCCAAGTCCAAAAATGTAAAAATCTTGGGGATAGTTTTTGACCATTCTGTTATCTGTAACAGCTGGAAAAGTAAAAATGAAGTGGAAAAAAATCATTAAATAATGGTCTATATATGAGAAATGTATGAAAAGAAAATTTTTTCAGTCATACATGAGGAATATGGAAAGTTCACTCACTTCTGAGTGAAATTTCCACATTCAATTTGGATTTGAATTTGAGACAATAAAATGGAAAAATATTGAATTAAATTCTTTACTTCCGAAATATCAGTATTATTTTTTAAGTCTGAATTATTCTAATGATAAAATGATAAGACTGTTTTAGTTCTAATCCAATTTGATCCAACCTTATCATTTGATCATTGTTTTTCAGATATATGATTTAATTTGAATAAAGTTGTTTGCATTCAACAAATCCTATTTTAAGGTATATTTAATGCAAGTTTCAAATTAAAAAAAAAAGTAATTTATAGTCATATCAACAAAAACTTAATTAAGAACTTACCAAAAATGCAAGGTGGTAATCTGTTCATAAAGCTAGCAGTTTCAATAAGTGAAAATTCATCTTCCATTAAAATAGATTGATCTGCCGAAGCAGAAGCTGTGGTAGTGGCCATTGCATTTTCATCACGATTATTTAAATTGAAAGCTTCATTATTCAATCCTGAATTGCTTGCTTTAGGACTGGATACTGAGGTTATAAGTAAAACAAGGAAAAAACAATTTGCAACAAATGATATAATTAATAATTATCATTGTAAAATTAACAGACCTTTCTCTGGAGATTTTAAGATTTTTTCTTCTACATGACTTTCAGAAACTTTACGACTATTAGATGCAGAAAAGTTACTTCGAGTTCTAGGAGATATTCGTCCAGTAGATTGCAGTGGTGACATTTCACCATTATTCATTTCAGGCGATCCTAAACTCGAACTACTTGTAGCCGTAGCTGATCGAGTCTTATTCCTTGCTCTCATTTCATTTTCTCTCAACCATTCAAGATACGATTCTCGAGCAACTTGTTCCTCGATAGCTTCATTAGTGGCCTCCCAATCTGTAGCACGAAGTTTGTCTTCCAACATTGCTTGTTCTAATTCAAATTCTTCTGAAGTTCTTATTGCTTCCTTCATCAAATTTTTTTCTGCTAAAAAATTATTTTTGTTTACCCCTGGCTTCAATGAAGGTAGGCCAAGTCCAACACCAACTGTGGCTTTATAAGGATCAACAATAGAATTATAATGTATATTTCTGTGATAGCTAAGACGTATTGGTGCATTGTCAGTAAATTCCCCATGGAAAATATTTATTGGTTCTATACTGTAATGGTAAACTTCAATAGGTCTATTAAACATCTCTGATAATGCTTGCATTTCAATATGATTTCCATGAATGTGATCACATCTTTTCCTTTCTATATATTTCTCAAAATCTTCAGTTACATATTGAGAAAAGAAATCAGAATTTTTTGCCATATAATCCATGCATAGTTTTCTCACAGCAGTGTGCATTTCTTGATCTCCATAAACTTGGTCAGCAACTGCTCTGAAGAGACAAGCGCCATCTTCTCCCATTTTCTTGATTGAAAAACCCTTCTTTCTTAACTTCTTTTCAAATAATTTCTCCTTCTCATCCAATTCTTCTTCTGTCCACATTTCAATTGGACGATCATATTCGTCACCACTATTATACCCAGAAGGGCCTCCATTGACACCATCATCTTCAGTTGTTTTGACTTGCATTGCACTATTTGGCCTATCTTGAGAGGGACTATGTCCACTCTGCGAAGTGCTGGGATTTGTAAAATTGGTCTGATTATTCGTTCTATGCACAACATGATTAGAATGGACATGGGGATGATTTTTTCGAATACTTCTGTGAGGAGAAGCTCTATGACGACGTTTTGAGTGACTGGGTCCGCTGTCTGTCGTCTCGTATTCGTAAAAATTTGTTGATGTTGCGTGTGAAGGTCGCTTTTCGCCTCTCGGTGTGGCCGGTGGCCATGTTTGAGGCGAGAAATTGAACCTCTCGCGACTTTCTGGTGGATGAGGTTGATGTCCATGACGGTCGCCATGATAAGAATGATTGGGATCTGTGTTTTCACCTTCATTTTTCGACTGTGTCGTCTTTTTCTTGGGTAATATGGTCATGGTGATTGATATAGACGCTCTGTAGAGTTTACCGATTATTTCGGTCGTGCGATGACACTAAAATATAACTAATATAACTAATATAAAATATAACGTCACATCAAATACCGGTAGAGACCAAATAGATCTATAATTTCAATTAAAAAACAACTCTAAATTTCACTTTAAAAATTTCACGAAAAGTTAGTTTATAACAAACAAACTATTGTTTCTTTGTTTTCTGTAACAATTAGCAAATAATACATTAAATAATGCAATTATTACTTAATTGCATTCCTCTATTTAATTTATAAAATGGAAAATAATTATTATTAATATTTTTTTTTTTTATATCGAATAAAATTATTCATATTTAAATAATTAATTATAAATGTCGATTTAATTTTTATTAGGACATTTTATGTGCATTTAATTTTCATCGACATCATTCTACTGTCCATTTGTTTATTGGTCATTTTTTAAATTCAAATTATAATTAATACAATAAATAAATAAGGCCTATATTACGAAATTAAACATGAAGTAACTACACACAATACATTTTTAAATTAATCAATATACAGTTCAAACCTCGATATAGCGCTAACTTATAGTGCTATCTATATCACTACATTTTTGTCACATAATTCGAGAGTTTATAGGAGAGTTTACTATTAATATACATAATTCTTAATGTTTGAGATGCTTCGGTTTAACGCCGTACTCGATTTAGTGCCAGTTTCCGAATAGTGGCACTATATCCAGGTTTAATTGTGTCTTTATTCTGCTATTATAAATAAGTATTTTTATCTGATATTTTTTAAAGAATTAAATTAATTATTCTTATATGCTAGATACATCGAACACACCTTATTGCTGAGAACATATATTTATTACACCAAACAAACGTTTTCGGCCCAATTTATGGGCCATCTTCAGGTTACCGTTGTTCGACTCTAATACAAAATCGAACACGTTCAAAATTAAACCAAATTAGAACATACGTTTAAATTAAACCAATAGAATAAGCATAACCAGAATAATAAATGATAAAAAACCAAAATTACACAAAAATGAAAATAAAATACGGTGATTGTCGTAAACACTAAGGAACAGTTTCTTATACATTAACCCAGATAATACGTATTGAGTCACGGTAGACGCATTATTACACGTGTTACTTCTTATTATGTATTTCCAGGATGACGGTAACACCGTCGCATCCTTATAATTTAAACATCTGCCAGCCAAACTCGCTCTGTAAATTTCGCATTTCTCAGTTATGAATGACAGCGTTGGTGAGCGTACTTTTGCAAGAATTCATGCATCCTCCCATTTAACAACCGAACCATCCGCTTGCGCCATTTTGGATAATGCTGTTGCACACTTGTTTTTTGCGACATCGTATCTGTGCTCCTTAATCCTCACCCCAAGGTTTCTATTAGTGACTCCTACGTGAATTTTATCAATTTCCAACTGGTCATTTTTGTAGGGAATTGCATATACTGCTGCCTGTTCGTTATCATCAATTCTTTCTTTGTCATTTCCAATTAACCTGTACACTGTGGGGGCCCTTTTGCATATTATACTGGCGTTTTTGTGTTTCGCTATTTGCTTCATAATCGGGAAGAGACATTATTATACGTAAACTTTGCGAAGTTACCACCAGCTTCCGGTTTCTTCTTAGAGCCGCTCCTAGGCTTTACGTACGCTGATATTAAACGCTCTATAGATCTTGTTCCAAACCCTAACACTTTTGCAACGTTTTTGATCCTACCCAGCTCATCCACCCTGTCCATTACATTTGAGCAATACAGAAACGCTCTTCGGATTAGCGCCCTAAATGCAGATAGTTTATAAACCGTTGGGTCATTAGAATTTGCCGGAATATACATTGGATCATGAGTGAGCTTGATGTACACCTTCGTGCATAAAGCTCCATTTTTAAATTCAATGCTAACGTCCAAGAAGAGTAGCTCCTTGTTACTAACTTCCTCCAGGTTAAGTTTTAAGCCAAGTGTAGGTATATTAGCCCCACAGTGTATAGGTTAATTAGAAATGACAAAGAAAGAATTGATGATAACGAACAGGCAGGAGTATATGCAATTCCCTACAGAAATGACCAGTTGGGAATCGATAAGGACTACGTAGGAGTCACTAATAGAAACCTTGGGGTGAGGATTAAGGAGCACAGATACCATGTCGCAAAAAACAAGTGTGCAACAGCATTATCCAAAATGGCGCAAGCGGATGGTTCGGTTGTTAAATGGGAGGATGCAAAAATTCTTGCAAAAGTACGCTCACCAACGCTGTTATCCATAACTGAGAAATGCGAAATTTACAGAGCGAGTTTGGCTGANTGATGGCCAGATTTAGAAGAAAGACGTTTGTAACTGTTCTCATCCTCTTGTTGACAGCTAGTGTGACTATAACAAGAACATTCCCCAATACAGCCAATAGAAGAATGACACTATAAGGTAATATGAGTCGAACCTGTTCCACGCTTCCATTCATACTGCTATCCTCCACCATGCTATCATTATTAAAAGTTAAATTAGTTTTCATCTTCGGTATTCCTCTATGAAATCTTTATCTGAAAATAATTAACACGCATTATAAATGTTATAACACTTATTTAACTAACCAAAAATTAATTCTACTTCTTCTAATTAGATTTTTAATAAGGCCAACCGGAATTAATGCAATTGTACAAATCCCTTAATTATAAATGATGCACATTGAAACTATGTTAAGTTCTTTCTTCTAGAATTTACACTTCTCTTAACTTAAATTTGTCTTAATTATTTTAATTTCAAGTCTAAAAATATACAGTTATTAAACCTTAAATAAAAATGAAATATAAGTCAAAAAATCTTTAGCCATGTAATTTCTATCTACGATACTAATTTATATATATATATATATATATTTGTGTATTAGTACATTCTTACTTTATTTTTCTATATTTGTATATATATTAAAAGAAAATGGGAAATTCAATAAATTCCTCTTGTATAGAATTTTTATCTCTTGACATCTAGAAAAATTGAAAAGGAAGAAACATTAATGGTGAAAGAAGTGAAGAGGAAAGAAGTGATAAGGAACGTTCGGTAAACAGAAACTGGTTGAAAATTATGAAAACTTAAGCGAAATAAAAGTTATTATTCGTTTGAAATTGGAAAATAAGTTCCTCAGAAAGTACTTTCAGCAGAATTTCAAATATATTTTCAATAACTTAAAAGAAAAGTTATATTTTTTTTTTTACAGTAATATTAATTTCAGAAAGTTTATTAAAAATTCACTAAACTTTCTTACATATTTAATTATTAAACAATTTTTATTGAAATTCTTTAATATAACTGATAAATTCGTATCTAACAAATGTTTCTGAAAAGATTTACTTTCTATTAAAAAAAGTGTATCCAGTAATTTGCTAGGATAACTTATTTAATAACGAAATATAATTGAAAAAAATAATAATTTTTTTGACAAACATCTGTGAAAATAAATCTATATTTATCTGACTCTACGACGAATGGCTATAGAATTTAAGGAAGCGGCATTCAGTAAATCAAAAAGACACTCTTTGCTGTGTGATCAGATTGCAAGGTAATATTATGTAACTGGTAATAAACAGCTAGTAACGTTGAACATTATGTCTTTTTTTTCTTATATACAGCAAAACCTGTGTAAACCGGACTCGTAAGGTACACAGAACACGCTTCTTTTCTAAGAATTTCTCCTGTTTAGGCAGGTTTCCGTTTTATATAGGTTTCTCTTTGGATAGATTTTACTGTACTCTACTATAAAAAGTGAAGGGCAAGATAATTTACCAGACAAATCTGCATAGAGAATAGATTAAACGAGTCAATTAAATGAAGTTATTTATTGTATTTAATATACATTCATACAGTATATAATTATCTTAAAATAAAGATAAATAAATTGGAAGAGAATTTAAATAATAATAATAAAAAAATTTATAATATTACCAGAAGAAATTAATTTAAAAACGATCACGTTACATAATTCTCTTCCTTCTTGTATAGCTTTTTAGTCTTGACGTAGTTAAGATGTCTCGAGGAGTTGACAACAGCCAAAGAGGACACGTCGTGTGTTCTCCATCTGTTCTGTTGACAGCGAAACAAAGCCAGGAAACTCTGACGAAACTTGTAGTTCATGAAGCAATACGTGATTGGATTACAACACGAAGAGCTGTGAGCTAAAAGCTGGAAGAAAGATATACCGTAATATCCTAGGCCCACGTAAACAGATTCGGGATCATACATACTAATAGTATTTATGGTATAGAGAGGTGTCCAACAAATAAAGAATTCTAAAACCACTACAAATAACATTTTGATAACACGTTTTTTCTGTAAAAGGGATCTATCTAGGTTGCTGCTTCTAACTGCTTCTCTCTGGAGCAGATGCTCTTTTCCTATTACGGGATGACATAATTTATCGGATGTCCAAGCTGTAGATTCTGTGAATTCACTGGAAAAGTTGGATTTCCTGCGAACTGTATAAATAAAACCGTTATCTTTATACTATAAATAACTTTATAAATTTTAAAAAAAAGTATTATTAGTAGTTTACGTACTTTCGAAATCGTGTATTGGTCTTATAGTCTTCCACAGTGTCCTGATAATCAAAGTCACAGACATGATAACAAGAGGTACAACTAGAAGCACGACGTCCAAAAATATAGTAAAAAGTCGTTCAGTAAAAAGATTTGGCCAATTCTCTCGGCATTTATATTTATCTACAAAAAGCAAACATTGTCTTTTCGTAATTAAATTTTTACAGGTTATTAATTTTTTACCGCGAATTCTCATTTGCATATTATTAATTTAACACATAAAAACTTTTGTTTATTTAATAATTCTGCTTTTCTGTACTGTCTTACCTGTACCCTTGATGGATTGTAATTTACTCAGATATGCGATAGGAAACATACAGATGAGGGAACCGGACCAAACAATGGCGATCATTTTGTAAGCGTGGCTCAGAGTCTGCCATTGACGAGATTTTAGAGGGTGACAAATTGCATAATAACGTTCTATAGACATAGAAACTAAGGTCCAAGCGCTGACACTTACAGAAACAGCTGTAAAAAATCAAACAAATTTCAACTTACACCATTCAGTTTGCCCCCCAAAAAAATTCAAATTTTTATATAAAATTTAAAAATCCGAGATAAAGAATATATAATAAAGCATTAAAAATATTATTGTGAGATCTTCACAATGCTGGATTGCAATTTCAAATCATATTTTTAATTTATTTAATTTAAAATATGTGCTGTCGACTTCATCTTAGTAGTGTTTTGCACCTGTACACTATGCGTTTTCTGATAAGAGTCATTCCGGAAAAAAATGTTTAAATTGAAATCATGTGACTTCCGGGCCGAAAGTTCGACCGAAAGTTCGTATATAGTTAATTGGGGTCTCCTGCCCTTAAGCTTTCCATATCTAGTCTCGACTTTTATCTGTCTAACACCATTCTCGAGATTAAAGGACAGGCAACAGTGGAAATTTATAGTTTTTTTTTAAGTTGTAGCTTAATAAATAACTTAAATTATACAATAAAAGTATTATTTACCTTGTAAATAAGAAATAAGTCGACACATGACAGCACCAAATACAAATTTTCTCAGAAGAACCCCTGTTAAAGTGAATGGTATACAAAAAACTCCTAATAATAAGTCGCTGATGGCCAGATTTAGAAGAAAGACGTTTGTAACTGTTCTCATCCTCTTGTTGACAGCTAGTGTGACTATAACAAGAACATTCCCCAATACAGCCAATAGAAGAATGACACTATAAGGTAATATGAGTCGAACCTGTTCCACGCTTCCATTCATACTGCTATCCTCCACCATGCTATCATTATTAAAAGTTAAATTAGTTTTCATCTTCGGTATTCCTCTATGAAATCTTTATCTGAAAATAATTAACACGCATTACAAATGTTATAACACTTATTTAACTAACCAAAAATTAATTCTACTTCTTCTAATTAGATTTTTAATAAGGCCAACCGGAATTAATGCAATTGTACAAATCCCTTAATTATAAATGATGCACATTGAAACTATGTTAAGTTCTTTCTTCTAGAATTTACACTTCTCTTAACTTAAATTTGTCTTAATTATTTTAATTTCAAGTCTAAAAATATACAGTTATTAAACCTTAAATAAAAATGAAATATAAGTCAAAAAATCTTTAGCCATGTAATTTCTATCTACGATACTAATTTATATATATATATATATNAACATACAGATGAGGGAACCGGACCAAACAATGGCGATCATTTTGTAAGCGTGGCTCAGAGTCTGCCATTGACGAGATTTTAGAGGGTGACAAATTGCATAATAACGTTCTATAGACATAGAAACTAAGGTCCAAGCGCTGACACTTACAGAAACAGCTGTAAAAAATCAAACAAATTTCAACTTACACCATTCAGTTTGCCCAAAAAAAATTCAAATTTTTATATAAAAGTTAAAAATCCGAGATGAAGAACATATAATAAAGCATTAAAAAATATTATTGTGAGATCTTCACAATGCTGGATTGCAATTTCAAATCATATTTTTAATTTATTTAATTTAAAATATGTGCTGTCGACTTCATCTTAGTAGTGTTTTGCACCTGTACACCATGCGTTTTCTGATAAGAGTCATTCCGGAAAAAAATTTTTAAATTGAAATCATGTGACTTCCGGGCTAGACCGAAAGTTCGTATATAGTTAATTGGGGTCTCCTGCCCTTAAGCTTTCCATATCTAGTCTCGACTTTTATCTGTCTAACACCATTCTCGAGATTAAAGGACAGGCAACAGTGGAAATTTATAGTTTTTTTTTTAAGTTGTAGCTTAATAAATAACTTAAATTATACAATAAAAGTATTATTTACCTTGTAAATAAGAAATAAGTCGACACATGACAGCACCAAATACAAATTTTCTCAGAAGAACCCCTGTTAAAGTGAATGGTATACAAAAAACTCCTAATAATAAGTCGCTGATGGCCAGATTTAGAAGAAAGACGTTTGTAACTGTTCTCATCCTCTTGTTGACAGCTAGTGTGACTATAACAAGAACATTCCCCAATACAGCCAATAGAAGAATGACACTATAAGGTAATATGAGTCGAACCTGTTCCACGCTTCCATTCATACTGCTATCCTCCACCATGCTATCATTATTAAAAGTTAAATTAGTTTTCATCTTCGGTATTCCTCTATGAAATCTTTATCTGAAAATAATTAACACGCATTATAAATGTTATAACACTTATTTAACTAACCAAAAATTAATTCTACTTCTTCTAATTAGATTTTTAATAAGGCCAACCGGAATTAATGCAATTGTACAAATCCCTTAATTATAAATGATGCACATTGAAACTATGTTAAGTTCTTTCTTCTAGAATTTACACTTCTCTTAACTTAAATTTGTCTTAATTATTTTAATTTCAAGTCTAAAAATATACAGTTATTAAACCTTAAATAAAAATGAAATATAAGTCAAAAAATCTTTAGCCATGTAATTTCTATCTACGATACTAATTTATATATATATATATATTTGTGTATTAGTACATTCTTACTTTATTTTTCTATATTTGTATATATATTAAAAGAAAATGGGAAATTCAATAAATCCTCTTGTATAGAATTTTTATCTCTTGACATCTAGAAAAATTGAAAAGGAAGAAACATTAATGGTGAAAGAAGTGAAGAGGAAAGAAGTGATAAGGAACGTTCGGTAAACAGAAACTGGTTGAAAATTATGAAAACTTAAGCGAAATAAAAGTTATTATTCGTTTGAAATTGGAAAATAAGTTCCTCAGAAAGTACTTTCAGCAGAATTTCAAATATATTTTCAATAACTTAAAAGAAAAGTTATATTTTTTTTTTACAGTAATATTAATTTCAGAAAGTTTATTAAAAATTCACTAAACTTTCTTACATATTTAATTATTAAACAATTTTTATTGAAATTCTTTAATATAACTGATTAATTATTCATTTTTAATCCAATTTTAAAGCAATCTATCTGTTTAATTCTCATTTTCTTCAGTAGTGATATAGATAATATTTTTAAATAATTCAGTAATAAATTATAAATTTTAGAAAAAAATACATTCAAATTTGTATAATCGATGCTTTATATCTATAAATAACCGAATACGAACGTATTTAAAAAAAAAAATCCAAAAACGAGTTGCGTAACTTTCCAGGAAAAAAAGTTAAAATTGTGTATGGCGCCATCTGTTATGTGATTTTATTTAAAAACTTTTTATATTATTAATTAGTATAAAGTGGAAAAAGATTTAATTTTGAAGATCGTGGTGAGTTCTTATAAAAAATTGTAAATGCTAATAACTAGTAAAATCTTCATTAATTAAGTCCGACCATACTCGAGATATGGCACAAGATTCCTCTCTATATTCCCACCGCCTCGACCAAAACCAACCAAAATTTAGTAGCATTAATGCCCGTAATACACAAACCTCCCTGCAAAATTTCAGAAGTTTTCGGCAAAAGGAACAGGAGTTATTATGTTTCAAATTTGGTGAACAAAATCGTGCCCTAACACACAGAAACATCCGTACACCCCGATCTTCATTTCTCTACGTTTAAAGGTCCCTCGAGTCCAAAAAATATAAAAATATTGGGGGTAATTTTTTGTTCTATGGCCCTACTTTCCCTCAGTTATATACATAACATCTAGGAAAGTAAACTCCATATTAATTTTTAATTTTATCCTAAGTTTACAGTGTCTATTTAATTGTAATGTTTCTAGTGATTATTTAAAAATAAATTTATCCAGATAATATTTTAAATTAATTTAATCTAACACCATTTTCTATATTAAGGAAGAACAGACAGACAAACGGACAGAATGAACCCAGTGAGAATTTACAGGTCATAGGAACCATGCAAAATTTATTAATTAAATTCTACAAGACGAAAGAAATATAATTTAAAATATAAAAATTATCTATTTAAGATGTATTTATACAAAATTTATATCTGGAAGAGTTAAAATTGTGCATATCTTTAACGTTATCTGAAGGAAGATGAAGTGTTATGAGAAAGAAGACATTTAATATGCGGCATTAAAAATGTAAATGCCATTTACATTAATTTTAAATATTTTTATCCGTATTTTAAATCAACTGTACTATTTACATAACAGTTTAAAACTAGACTTTCAAGTAAATATTTTTAAAACGATTAAAGATAAAATTTAATATAATTATATTAAAAAAAATATATTGTACAGTATATTATTTGCGAATCGCAACCTTTAATGAGTATGGAGAAAAAAGTTTTTGATATTTAACTTAATATAAATGTTCTAAAGTTATGTAATTTTCTGCTACTTTTGGTAAAACATTTGAAGAGAAAAGAAGAAAATATATTTATATTTTTTTTTAAAAAAAAAAAAGAAATATAGTAAGAAAAAGCTGAACTTGCAGAAATTTTCTTACTTAACGACGACGTAATGACAAATTACGAGTCATTCGAGTGGCAAGAAATTACATTAAAAATACTAAGAAAAGACAAATGGCACGACAATCGATAAAGTTTTATGTAACAGAAATCTGGTTTTAGTCGTTGCTACTAATACACAAGGAGTCTATTGTTACTTATTTAATATTGACATTTTACTTTCCGAAAATCTTCAAGAACGGATAAACCGACGGACGAACGAACGAAAAAAGAAAATAGATATCATTTATATCAAGTTTTTAGTTCGTCAGTTTGTTGCATGTAAATTTATCTATTTTGTAGAAAAAAACGTTTTATTTACACGTTTCTGAGATAAAAAAAACATATAAAAAATGTGATTTTTTCATATAACTGGCGATTTCCTGTTGCTTCGTCTTTGTTTTTCGTGTTGAATGATCGATATTAAAGCATTTTATTTAATAAAAATCAAAATTAGATTCTTCTATCTGGAACAGAAACTAAATTTAGAAATTTTTTTTTTATTAAATTGCTATTATCTCAAACAACTAAACCTCTTAAACAACAGTAGGATGTAGAATTATTGTGTAAAGTGGTATACACTTAAAAATTATGCCTTAATATACTTTACGAAGTTCAATAATAAAGAAAACCTGAAATATTTTGGTTCGAAACTCCTCTTCACTTTAGAGATAAGTTTTGAAAAACGTTATATTAGTATTTCATTAATAAAATTAAGTCTAAAATAATAATTTTATCGTGTTTTCGGGCGAATAAGGCAGTAAAATGCAACAAAGTATAAAGCTTTAAACAGGATCTCAATTAGTTATTCACCATCTTTAGAGCCCATTTAATTTACAGAGAAACAGGAAGAAGTATTAAAAACAAAAAAACGTTTTACATATTTAAGTGTTGGGACCTTCCTTCCTCTTATTAGGGCCCTCATTTAATTTATAGAAATATAGGAAGAAGTGTAGAAAACAAAAAGAATTTCAAAACTTTACGTTTTGGGGTCCTACACGGTCCATATACCTATAAGTGAAGATAGATGTTATACAGAGCTCTATAAGGAATCTATGCGTAAAGATTTAGGAATTTTAACAATTTAAAACGTTAGAAACTGTAATATTTGCTTAAGTTTTAGCCTCAAGAAATATCCCGAAACGGCACAGAAATTGTTTCTGATATAAAATAAATCAGACGTATTGAAAAAGAGAATAATATGCAATTTGTGATCGAGTATCTAAGGAACTTTCTTTGGTTGAATTGAGTTGATAGAGCAAATATTCTATAGTAATAAGTTGAAAGAGAAGTGTGACGGGAAATTACTTCTGCCTCATTTTACCCATTCAATGAAGAAATCACGAAGAAAGTGACTTTTTAAATAAGAAAGAAAACCAATTGATTCGGATTTGTAGTCAGATTGTTATTGTTCAGAGAGCAAAAACATTTTGTCGACCCTCTAGAAATCGCTATATCATTGAAACATGCAGAAAATTCAATAATGTTATCTCAGAAGATAGTAAATATAATAAATTCGAAACGAAATTAAAATAAGAAAATTTTAATAAATAAATGATTGAAATAATAATTCATTCGTAAATATTTTGAAGTATTGAAACAAATGCCCTAAAGCTGAATAAATTCATTTCTACACGATTAAAGTTCGTGAAAGTTATGCTAAACATCAACACCATCAACACGTTTACTGTAGAATATAACAAAATTATTTTAGTTTAAACGAAATTTTATTTATTTTGTGTACAAATAATTTGAAAACCGTTTCCATTAGCGTACTTTCTATTAATCGAACAAATTATGCGCTTATGTGAAACGAATAGTGTAGGTAGTGCCCCTGAGATGCGTGCACTACCTGCAGTACTCAGCTGCACTTCGTTGTCACTGGTAATTTTATAAAAGTTTTACTTTTTCAACACCTGCTCCATTGTGTGCAGATTCTTGAATAATAATCTTCGACGCTTCTCGAAGATCGAAACGTTTCGATGGTATCATATTTCCTTAAAAATAATTCATATTTTTTAATAATTCCCTAAAAATAATTAATATTTATTTTAAAAAATTCCCTAAAATAATTCATATTTAAAAAAAAATTCCCTAAAATAATTCATAATTTTTTTTTATAAATCCCTAAAAATAATTCATATTTTAAAAAAATTCCCTAAAATAATTCATATTTAAAAAATTTCCCTAAAATAATTCATATTTAAAAAAAATTCCCTAAAATAATTCATAATTTTTTTATAAATCCCTAAAAATAATTCATATTTTTTAAAATTCCCTAAAAATATATTTCTCAGGCACGTGTAACTTTAATTGAAAGATTTATGTATTGTAAGAAATACAAATGATCGTTCCACATGTATTTGTTAATGTACTGTATTATTTATATGTTAATGTATGCAAAATTTATGTATAATTATATATACAATATATATAAAATAGTAAATAAGTGAACATTTATAAGCTGTATTTTATAAATTACTTGAATTTTTTATTATATAATCTCTATTTATATTACTAATACTAAATTTTAATGTAAATAAAAATATTTAATTAAATATTATTTTTTCTATTTTTTATGCTGATGATATATCTAAAATTATATAAATTAAAAATATCTTATTTTATAAATATTATTATAATTTAATAAGAAACACAAAAAATAATTCGGAATCTCTTTGTATATCATAAGAATACAATTAAATACAGAAGAATCAACCCTTTTCTATTGTGGTTTAGTACACAATACGAAGAC